ATTACTTTGCCGATATTTGGTTTAGCATTAATTGTTAAATTATTCTGTGTTGTGTTTGGTCATTAGGAGGGAGCAGGGCGTCTCAGGCCAGACCAGCTCCATCGTGGTGGAGGGCGTCCAGGTGTCCCTGCCTTCCTACGAAGAGGCAGTATATGGAAGTAGCGGACCCTGTGGTATATCTGGTCCTCCTCCTTCTCCACCACCGGCTGCAGCTTCACCAGAGTCGCGGGTCCCCATTGTGCTCTCCGAGGGGCTTCCTCAAGGAGCTGCAGGGGGCCAAAGCTCCAGCAGGAGCAGCCAACACAGAGAATTAGACTTCTGTCTCCCATCAACCTCTTCCTCCTCCTTCTCCTCCCGCCGTCAAGCAGAGACGGTGTTGGTCCATCAGGCCCCCTCATCCTCCTCCTGCTCTTCTTCGACTCCATGGGCTCGAGAGCACCTCGCGGGTGCTTGGGCGGGCCCCCTACCTCTCCGTAGAGACTCTGAGAGCAGCGACCAGCACAGTCTGCTTTCAGTCACCTCTGTAGATGAGTTTGCTGATGGTAAGAGGAAAATCTTCAAAAACCTTTTACGAATATGACTTAATGATTGCATTGTTTACATTTTCTGTTTCACTGATTTTTATTTACATATGTTATAAATATTCATACCCCTTGAATTTAGCATTTTATTTATGCTTGTCCACTTTTTAGCAGCAACCCTTCACATCTGTGCACATCTAGACACTAAATGTGACACTATATGAAAATATTTTTATAAAATTTTAAAGACAAATTGTTTGTCAAGTTTGACTGATCAAATTTTTGGTTTTTGAAGATTTTATTTTTGGAAGAGCTGACTTTTATTTATTTTTTTTAAATCAATGCACCACTTGGGTTACCATAGTTCATAGTGATGTCAACACACACACAAGGCGGCCATCTTGTTTGACAGATGTGTTTTTCAGCTTCTGTTTATTCGAACTTTGAATTCAGGTCAACTCTATGACGGAGTTTATGTAAGGCCACAATTTTTTTCTTCTTTTTTCCCCCTTTCAATTATGAGAATAAAGGCATAATATATTAAGAATACAAATATTATTTTTATAATGACTCAGCACCAAAAATAATTACACTTTTCTTCTTGTTTTTTACGTAATTTTAAGACTTTCTGGTAAAAGTTATTTTGCTAAAATTATAAGTATAATCTCGTACTTAATAATCCGCGAAGGATTGATTGAAATAAAAAACACTTTTTGAAAACGTCTTCTGTCATTTGTAATTTCTCTTTTGGAAAAATACAAAACATAAAAATTAAGAAATTGGATCTGGTATGAAAAAATCTGAGATTACATTTTTACCCTACCCTACTTTCAAATGTTTCTTGGTGCAAAAAAAAAGTTAAGTCACACAATAAGAAATGCAACAATTAATGTCATAACCTGCACAGAGGATACAGAGGATAGCAGAAACACAGTCTGTAACAGAAACATGCAAAGCTGGAAGTGAAAACATTGCTGTGCACAAACTGATGCAGAGTTTTGCACCAAAGTTGATGGAACAACCTTCGCTCTTCTCTCATATGACTCCTCTGTTCCCCTGCAGATATCCCTCTGTTGAAGGAAGCATGAAGCCTGCAGCCCGCTATCAGCAACAGCATCAGCAGCAGCAGCTCCTTCCTCTATCTGTCGCTGCTGTCCGGAACTGACCGTGGCTGTCTATTTACGTCCCCACAACTCCCCTCTGTCGACTGAGCAACCAGCAGAGAAGTGATTAGAACAATGCTCAACCTCCTACTGCAGCCTCTTCTGCTATTACTGTTTTCAAGCGAAACCATCAACCAGTACCAATACTACAATATAAGCAATGATGGAGCCCACCGGATCCAAATACTGGTTGAACCTGAGCAAAGGCCAGATGCATTAAGTGGAACCCAGTTGACCTAAATCCTGTAGATCCTGTGAATAAGAGTGAAAAATTACTTATTGGGTCAGGATTGTTTGTCATAGGTTGCGTGTTACCATGCACTTGCCTCTCGTCCAGTGTAGTTATCTGTACCTCCACTGCAAATAGTTTTTCTTTTCTTTTTTTTTTCTTTTCTTTTCAGCAAAGGATATAGTCTCATCAGTTCTGATTGGAATCTCTGTTGATACAAAAAAAAAAGTTTGATTAACTTGTGATTTTTGGCTCAGAACCGTCTTCCCGCTGTAATTGAAAAGTCGTGAGTCACGCCTGACTTTTTGCGGCCCTCTTCTGCGAATGCTGCATGTTCTTTTTCAGTTCACTGCTGAACGACGCATTTCCTTCTCTCTCTCTGTTCACTGCCGCTGTCTAGCAAATGGATTAGCTGGAGTGACAACCGTGTCACAAAAGCTAAAAGCAGCGCGCGGCGTTTCATTAAGCACCATATCACAGCTATAAAAAGCCCTGCTTCTTTATTTTCCGCCGCCAGCTGCAGCCGTATCTAGAGGCCACTGCTTCTGCTGCATGAGTGGGATTGATTGTTGTTTTGGCTGCACATCTTACACTTCTTGTACAGGGGAGAGTGGTAGCTTGGTTTTCTGCCTGAGCTGAAGTGAGACGCCTGTTATGATCGGACAGCTGGCTAAACTTTTTAAGTTTCCTATCGTTTAATTTTTTTTTCCTCACTGTATTTATTGTTTGCGTGTGACTGTTTGCTTTGAGTTGCCGAATCAGAGTGTGTATGTGTGTGTATTTCTTGTGTAGCCAGGCAGGAGAGAACATGTCCAGATATGGTAGGCCTTGATGCAGCCCTTTTCCTGGTTTGCTTGTCCTCAAGTTGAGGACAATGTCCCAGTCTTTCACCATAGGAAAACATCCCTCCCATCGCTTAAAAAAAATGTCACATGAACAAACCAGCTTCACTTGTGGCATTGAGTTTGCAACACAATAAGGGTGTTATTCATCCACTCCGAAGCTAGAATACGGCTGCAGAACTTCACTCTCCTTCTCTTCACCCGTTTTCCTGCCGAACTAAAGACTCTCCACTTTTGAGAATTGTGGAAACAAACTGCAACTGGTTGCAGTGAAATAAAGAAAATAAGAAGAAAAGGCTTTTCTAGATAGCAATATATCCCCTTGTATCTCCCTCACCATACTCACTCACTCACTCTTAATGCCTAGTGCAAATTAAAGGGAGAAAACGCGTCCTTCTGTTCGAAGTCATCATCTGTTTTCATTCCCACTAGAAAAGCTTTGAGCTGGTCACCCTGGAAACAGCATGGCTCGGACAAACCCTGACAATTACTTTTTGAAACACACAGACACACACGAGCCGTCTAAATAGCTGTTCTAGTTTTTATTTGGCTTTTTTTTTTTCTGTCATTGTCAGCGGCTACATTATTCATGCAAACAAAATGTTGCCTTAGATTTGTACATTTTCTTTTCATTTAATATGTATAATCTTAAACCTCCAAATTGATTGCTTTACAGTTTTTGCAACTTGTTGTTTTCCCAATTGCCTTACTCTATTCTTTTTCTATTCTATGCATAAAACAGTCTTTATTTATCAATACGTTTACTTCTGTTGTGGGCACAACTAGGCGAATGTCTGTCCCTTTCTGTTCTCCCCACTGTTTTTCCAGCTACTGTGATGAAAATTGACATTGACAATGAGCCTGAAATCACCTATATTTCATTACCTTTTTGGTTTCTTTTGCTGCAAGGCGTCAAGTTTTAAGACGACTGAAGGAAAAAAAATTGTTCTAAAGAAGCCCTGTTGTACGGTGTTGATTCCCTAGAAATAACAGGTTCAAATTACCCATCTGGACTCTTTAATTTCAATGCTTTAAGCTTTTTTTCTCTCTGAACATGGCAGTGGGTGTGAAGATAGTAATTTAATATTTGTATAAAGTTTAATTTAATTTTACAGTGTGTATATAACTTTCTAATTAAAGCTTTCTTTTAAATGTGGAAGAAGGTGTGAACTTTGTTCAATGTCCTCCTTATTTCTGTTTATGATGCACTGAATGTTAAGGAAATATTCTTGCAAACCTTTTTATATTGACAGTTTTAGACTAGTTTTAAATGAATGCATGCTTAAGTTTTGAAAGTGTGTCATGCGGGCATGGTTGCAAATAACTTTTTTACATTTTTCTATGTTATGGCTACAAATTTAAGCCAATTTGAGCTAATTTGAGATTTTTTTTGCAGTTTTAGGAGGAACGCTGCATGATTTACAAACAGTTTGAATATCTGAAAAGTGGAACATAATGGACCACTATGATCATCCTCATTACAAGATTGTTATACAAAAGCTTTGTTGTTAGTCAGAGGCTTTAACACAATATCTGTAAGACAGACTGCTCTTGGAGATCTTGCCCACAGCCATCACCATTTGCATCAGCTCTACAAAGAAACATGGATATTATGAGTTACGACATGCAGTGTTTTTTCAGTTGAACTGAATGTCTGATGTCAACCAATCTACTCTCAAAAAAGGGGAATGAACTACATACAAACGCATGACACACTTTTAAAGTTTTGACTACAAAACAATGTTTGAAAATTGTGTTATCTTTCACATAAATCCCTCTTAACTTAATAATAAGAAATACTTGAATGTGTTGGGTAAATCCAAGTACACTCAAGCAGCTAAGTGTCCGTCGCATGTTTTCCTTCAATAAATTCATAAATCATTTGCGAATTTATTACGGAATTTATTATGGTTATCTTTAACCATAATATGGTTAAAGATTTATTTTTATAGCACTGTCGCTATACTTTCAGTTTTGTGAGTCTAAAAAACGCAGTTCATTTTTCTTAGTCTACTATTAAGGTGTTAAAAAATATTTCTTTCGATGTTCATCACACCTTTTGTCTTAAAAACGCAAGCAGTCATTGTTTGATTAAACACAGTAGTGTGTCAGTGACCCCCAGTGGTCAAAAACGTAAGTACATCAGACGTGTTTATGACGCCACATTCGGAAACGTTCGGAATCCGTTTCGGGTTTGTTCGTGTTCTGCAGTCTGTGCTTTCGCTCTAGGTCACGTGAGGCCTTTTCTTTAAAAAGACTCCGCCCTGTAACAGCAGCGGCACCATTTTGTTTCATCTTGCATTACAGTCGACGGTTGAGGGGATAGAAAGAAAAAAATAAAATAAGAAAGAATAGGTCTGCAATCTTCCTGCGGTAGGTACATAAAGCTATATTTATATTTTCACTATAACAATTCTGGATAAGCGGTATAAATAGTTTCAGCTGTTATTTTGATGCATTAGCTAGTAACACAGTTAAGGCCGTTGACTAGCATAAGCAGGGCATTTGCTAACGGAAAAAAAATGCTTATAACATCTTCTGGTTGCAGCAAATTAAACTAAAACTGTCGACATGAGCGGATGTCGTATCTTCATCGGCCGCCTGAGCCCGTCGGCCCGAGAGAAGGATGTGGAGCGGTTTTTTAAAGGATACGGCCGCATTCGGGACATTGACCTAAAGAGAGGCTTCGGCTTCGTGGTGAGTCACCGCAGGAGAAAGTAGGTCACGGTGAAATTACTGTCTGTGAACCGGAGAGCATCTAATCCAAGTGGGGTTAAATTATTCCAGAGATTTCCGCCATATAAACCTAACGTTTGACTGCAGAGGGAGTGATTTTTGCACCTCTTATTGAATTTTCAATGAGAAAAAGGAAAGGATGCCCCCGCCCCCTCTCCACACCTCACCATGCTTCTCTGCTAGCCTGAGCAAGCACCAACCCGACATTTCGCATGAGTCTGAAGCAACATTAATGTACGCCTTGCGGGCAAGTTGAGCAATTAAAAACATCAGTTTTGCAAGCAATGATTTACTCAAACATGCATGTGGTAGAATACCAATGTTGCAAGAGTAAGATGTTGAGGTTCCATAGCTCTTTTATGAATGCCTTTTTGTGTTTTTTAGGAGTTTGATGATCCCAGAGATGCTGAAGATGCTGTGTATGAACTCGATGGCAAAGAGTTGTGTAATGAAAGGTGAGATTTTCCTGATTTAAGTTAATGCACTTACTGGACTCGGTTCTGTTTACACACTGTTCTTTCAGGCCGTATTAGTTCTTTGTTTCTGCACAGATGGGATAGCCACAAACCTGGAGGTTCAAAGTTTCCCTCAGAAAAATTTCCAAGCCCTGTGCTCAGGGCACTTGGGCATGTTTTTGAGTTGAAAATGTTTAAAGTTGACAGGAAATTTTAAAATATCACTTGATAATGATGTGTTATTGGAAGATTAACTATGAAGTCTTAAAAAATGCAAACATAATTTTTTTCATTAAAATAAACATGCAATGATGCTGGTGGGGGGACTAGTAAAGCCTGGTGACCCGCCAGGCTTATAATACTCTGGGCAAAACCCTAATGTGTATTTTATAGGGTTTTATATACATAGCTGCAAGTAATGTAGGAAAAAGGCAAGAAAATGATTGTTTGTACAAATAAAACCTGCTTAAAATCTTTAAACACTTGAATTCCAAATTATTTGTTTACAAGGTTTACAAATTGCTCGATTTCTATTAAAAGTGAACAGTTAAAAGTGGAAGTTTTGTAAAAAGTGTGCTATCTAATGTTGGAAAACCTACATTTGGAAAGTATTATTTAAAGTGGAAATCAGATGTTTTCATAAAAATACTTGCATGTTTTTTGTCCCTGTCTGACATTAAATCAGACTGAACTTCTCTGACTGAACATTTTAGGGTAGTTACTATTTGTAAGACATAACATTTTATTATATTTTAGTTTATCCTGTCTTTGCTGTAGAATGTCTTATATTTTAGACATTAGTAGCAGTGTTACCATATAATAGTGAATTGAAACTCTTTGTTCTTTTATAACCTTTTTTTTTAACTCCAAAGTTTGGTGCTGGAAGAGTGCTTGAACCTTACTGTAGGGAAAAATGTACAAACCCTGAAAATGTCTACTGTTTTATCAGCAGTTGCAATACTAACAAAACCTTCCCTTATGAACCGCAGGGTCACCATTGAGCATGCTCGTGTGCGTCTGCGGGGGGGCCGCGGGCGAGGAGGCGGCGGCGGTGGAGGACGTTTCTCTGACCGCTACGGTAGAGGTTCCCAAAACAGTCGGAGGTAAAGACAGGCTTCCTGTTGTTTCTGTTTTAGTGTTTGTTTTTCGGAGTTTGTATGGGTGTGAGAAATCCATTCAAACAGCACAACTTTGTAATAAAGTCCAATTTAACGCTTGGATCAATCGCCAAAACTTGGAAAGCATTATTTACAGTTGACACCATATATTTTCATACTCCTTAAGACAGTTTGAAGTTAAAGCAGACGAAACTTGCTTCAGGTTATTTCTATATGCTAAATGTAGCCCTGTCACAGTAAACAACAAATCAATTAATCGCACAATAAAAGAAAAGAAACTCAATCATTTTAATATGCTTGATTTAGCATCTTTCTCTTTTTTCTCTCTTTTTACCAAAATCTGAATGAGAAAAGTCTTCAGTCTGGTGTTTTGGTCTCAACTATCCCTGTGTTTGAAAGATAATTTTGTTTACAGAGACATTCTTTGAGAATGTGTTCTTGCATAATTACTATTATATTACTTGAAAATGTTCTCAAAACAACGTTCTCCTTTATCGCAATAATTTCTAAGGCAATTTATCGTCCAGCTAAATTTATTGCAACAGGCTTTGCTAAACGCCAGAAAATCTTGTGTGAACATATTTAAATTTCATTTATTGTTCCTAATGGCTCACTTATTTATGTGTAATTGAAATAAAGGGTGGCTTGTATTTTATGTTAAACAATATTTTTGAGATCAGGGGAAATTTTGTTTAAATGTTTTGTTCTCTAAATAGATTTGAAGTGTCTGAGACATTTAAAAAAATTTAAAGTCGTAATGAATGCAATGTTATTAATGTTAAGTAAATAAATATGTTAAGTTTATTTGATGACGACAAATAAACTGTATTTTTAATAAACGATATATTTAAGATATTAGGAAAAAGATTCATAGTAATGGTAAAATAAATAAATGATAATAAATTAGATTTTCTTGTTCTTTTGCATTGTTTTTGTATAAAACATGGAAAGTGAAATGGAAAGTGCTTGAATTTTACTGTGAAAATTAAAATTATTTTTGCGAACGTATTTAAATTATTATTATATTATTTTTTTACTCCCAGCTTCATTTTATTTGTAATAAAATAAAGCGTTTCTTTTTTATATAAAAAATATTTTTTATATATCTTACAAATGTTTTATATTTTTTTCCTTCCTCCTTTTTGTTCTTATTTCTTTTTTCATTTCCTCCTAGCCGAAACCCTCCTCCGATGCGCACTGAGAACCGTCTGATTGTGGAAAACTTGTCCTCTCGCGTCAGCTGGCAGGTTAGTATTTCTTTTAAATGTATAATTTTTCACAAATATATCACCACTTGCATTTATTTAATTCCAACAATACACATTGTTTAACAATTGGCTGCTAAAAACCAACTTTATAAAATGTATTTGTATTATCAGACGTAGCCAATTGAGTTGGTTTCAGTAATTGTAATTGTTTCAGAATTGAATGATAGTTTTTAAATGCAGTTTTAGCTAAACACAAAGCAACAAAACACCAAATTTGTTCATGTTGTCACATTTTAACCAATTCTCCACCCCTTTATTTGCCAGCTTGACTGTTGTGTCATGTGGAAGAGCTCGCTTATGGTGGAGTTAACCCCTTCTGGGTCCTTCAGTCTGGGTTGAGCCTGTGCTGTCAGCCAGTGTGTCCTACTCCTAGTTGATGCCTGCTGGTCATGTGAGCGCTCGCTCCACACTAGAGGCGCTGGCGGCCCTTCGCTCGCTCGCACCGCCTGCTGTGTGGTTGAGGGCGAGAGAGAGAGGAAACAGAGTTGGCAGAGAGAAAGCAGAGGAGAGAGCGAAAGTCGATGGTGGTGGCGTATTGATCGATGGTTCGTTAATTTGAGGGGCTTCGATCGATCGATATCCCCCCTTCCTTCCTCCCCCCGTGGTGTCCCCCGCACATCGTGAGAGAGAGAGGGTGTGAGTTCCTCCCAGGGGCCCGTGGATAAAATCTGCTGTAATCCTGGTAATGGTGGGCTCGGAGAGCCTGCGGCCCACCCCAAAGGGTATCGCTCTCAGGTAGTAGTTTCCTCTCTTCCACCCTGTTCACTCTCTTTACTGAGGTGGGGTGCCGAGACGGGGGCGGTCCCGGCGCCCGGCACCACCCGTACCCTCCTTGTCGGGGGGGGGAAAGGGACTCTTGGTGCCAGATGCTGCAGCCCAGTTGAAGAAGATGATGATCATCTGTGTAGTTTTAAAGGAGCGATGAGCTCACAGATCTCAATGTTGCTGTAAGAAACTGACCTTGTGCTGCAGTGATCCCTGACAGAAAGGGGCTTACATCAAAACAAACACATTATTATTGTTGTTGTTTTTTTTTGTTTTCTAAAACCAATCCTGTTAGGAGCACTGAGTCGGTGAACAGCCATTGAGTTTCTAGGACTCATCCTCTGTAATTGCTGTAGTCTGTAGATTTCAGAATCTAACTATCTCTCCCTTTGGGTAAATCAGTGCAGTTAATATCTGAGCCTGTTCTTGTTGCTCGCCGCGCCCCTCCGAAAACTGACCTGAGTTTGCGTGTGTAGGACCTGAAGGATTTCATGAGACAAGCTGGAGAGGTGACATTCGCAGACGCACATCGCCCAAAACTCAACGAAGGGTAAGACAGGGTGCCGACAAGAAAGGGAGGGAATTTATCCAGAAAAACTTGCAATAAGAATTTTAATTTATTTTTGACCTGGACAATAAATCAATAACATTATGTAAACATAGTTAAAATTGTATTTTTGTTAGCATTTTCTTCACACGATGATGATTTCTTGCCATCTTAAGGCCAGGCAGTAAATCAATAGCCATATGTAATGACAGACAAGTGATCAATATCAATAGCGGATGTATCTGATAGCTTACATTTTCTTTTCTTTCTTCTTTTTTCAGGGTGGTTGAGTTTGCCTCTCATAGTGATCTGAAAAATGCCCTTGAAAAACTGTCTGGAAAGGAAATCAATGGAAGGAAAATCAAACTTATTGAAGCTTCCAAAAAGAGGTGAGTTTCCTGCATCAAATTGTGAATTGAAACTTGCTGTAAGAGTTTGAAAACATTCCTTGGAAAGGTCATAAATTTGTCCAAACTGTGAGTATTTATTCTAGCTCTAAATGTGAGATTTCCCTTTCAGTTGTCATCATTTTTCCATCATAATCGTCTTATTTCTGCTTTTTTAGGTCGAGAAGCCGTTCCCGTTCGGACAGCTCGTCCCGCTCGCGCTCCCGTTCCCGTTCCCGCGGCCGCTCCCAGTCCCGCTCCCCCAGACGTTCCCGGAGCCCCGCCAAGGCCCACCACCGCTCCCGCTCCCGCAGCGGCACGCCGGCGCACGGCGCCTCCTCGCCCAGCCCCAAATCAAAGGACCCCAAACGCTCGTCCAAAAACAGCAAATCAGTAACGCCGTCCTCGCCGCCGCCGGCTCAGAGGTCGTCCAGATCCCGCTCTCGTTCAAGATCCCGTTCACGCTCCCGTTCTCGCTCCAGATCACCACGATCCCGCTCTCCTTCTACTGACAGTCAACGCTAAACTGGTTTAAAAATAAAAAAGTAACTAGAAAACTCCCGATGCCTCCTGGGAAAGCGAAGAGATGAGGTTTCTTTACAGATTTTCGTCTCCTTTTTGGATTGTTCTTGTGACTGTCCTCAAGTTATTTTTTACCAACCAGGCGCATCTGAAACAATTAGCTGTCGTTTTTCCATTATTAATTGGCAGGATTTTCCCAGAATGCTTTTGAACTCGGAGTGACGCCTCACATCTAATCTGCTTATACACGTGTTATAACACAGCAGTACAGTTTTTCAAAGTGAGCCACCATAAACCTGGCTGAATTATGGGACCCGGTCATCACATCTTTTTTTTTTCTTTTTTTTTTCCTTCCTTCAGAATTTTTTTTTTTTGTTTTTTGTTTTCCATCCAACCTCACATAAAACATGCTTGAAACTAAAATACAAAACACAAATTTTCTTTTCATTGGCAGCTTCCCTTCCAGGCTCACAACTGTACAGCTGCAGATTATTCCACTGGTTTATAACCTGTATATTCTCTTCATGTATGCTCGTTTTTTGTTTTTTTTTTATTATGTCTTTTGTACAGAGGCAAAACTCTTGAGGATGAAGCTAACCCTTCAGTTGCTCTCTGTGAGCAATGATGTTGCTTATTGGAGTGATATTTCTTAAATTGGGGATTTATGTACATACTGCAGCCTTCTGCTAAGTGTTGAGACGTGTACATGTTACCGCTAGGGTACTCTGACAGACGTTACTGTGTGTGTACATATAGACATGAATCTGAGGGAAAAAGTTTTTTGTTTTTTGTTCTTTTGTACATGAGGATTTTTATTTTCAGTGAAGATAGATGTTTGTATGGTGCATTGAAAATAGACTTGATGAATAAATCGATTTTAATAAACCATAAGTTTAGTCTTTAATATGCCTTTATGACACTCATCCACTTGTTTAAAGTGATATTTTTTATTTGGGGGATGCGGTGGTCATGCAGTCCCTTCAGAAATCTCCTTCAGCTTCTCCTCTGTCGACGTCAGCTGGTACGAACCTGTTGATCAGTAAATTATTTTATTAATTAAAGGAAGCATGCATATTTCTAGAGCTTTAATTAAAAAAATACATAAAATAACTCCTGAAATGGTTGTTAAGGTTGTTAATCTGAAGTTTGCTTCCCTGAAATCTGTATTATTGAATTTTTTCTTAATTATTTCAGCCAAACTTTCTTGTCTAAAGAGCAAAATTATTCTTTCAGTTCTGGACATAAAACAGGAAATGATGAAACACCAACAAGTAGCTAAAAATAACATGTACCAAAATGAAGTACTTTGGGAATTTTAATTTATTTTAATGGTAATTTCAGTGTAAGATACAAATGTGAAACTCCTAGTTTCACATCTGAAGGGAAATTTTTTTCCCAGTGTTTTTGATTTTCTTCAGACATAGAAAAATTTTTTCTAGGATTTCTTTTTTTCTAGGTGATTGGTTGTAATTTTCTCCAAATGCAAAGTTATTTGGGAAGTTCGTCACCAGTATTGATCTATATATCGTACATGATATCACAATATTTTTACCTGCAAGAGTTTTACAGCAGAAGGAAGGACTGGATATTTCTGAGTTGCTTTTTCATCTGTCTGCCATATTGAATTTAACAAATATTTTCTTGCACCTGCAGTGGACGGCCAGTTGTTGGCAGAGTATTGCATGATGCACTGTTGTCCACTTCAGTGGTCTGTGTGCATTGATGTAAAAATCCACAAGAAAATGGCTTTTAGGAAGCTGTCCACTCCTGATAGAGTTAATTATAAATATGTAAAGAAATGGAACCAGTGCTATTCCCATCTTCAGAAGGTGATAAATTATAGATAAAGCTACTATAAAAGCATAATTTTTTAAAAATTCATCTTCAGTGGGCCTCACCTTTTCTTTTTCCTGTGAACCAGAGGTAACACCTGAACAGAACGACGAGCAGCGCCGCCTCGGCCACCTGGAAGAACCCCAAGACTAACGGGAACAGGTACATGGGTCCGATCACAGCGGGGGGGAAGGCCACCTTCACTATGGCGGCGCACAGTTGGATGTTCTGACAGCCAGTCTCCATAGCAACAGTCCTCCGCTCTCTGAGGGGCGAGGGCGGATCGATGCATAAGTCATGAACGAATATAGAGAAACGCTCACGGTTCTATGCTTGTGACGCAGAATCAGGATTCACACAAACCTGAAGTTTAGGATTTTCTGTACTAGACCAACACAAATGAGTGAATAATTTTAAATTGGAGGAAGAATTCACAAATTATAATCTGCAGAACCTGGTCTGCATTGGTATTCAGCCACCATGACTCAATGCCTTTCACTGGTACATGCAGATTTTTCCCATAAGAGAAATAGAGATGTTTGCCTCTATTAAGGAATTATTCAAACGAGCTCCCATCTCTTGCTGAAAATTAATTAGTCAGTTTTGTTGTATTTCAAATGAACTAAGATATTTGCATTAGAAACCAGACCAAAAATGCTTGGTAAGATTTTGTATTTTTGCAGCGTATTGTGCACTAAAACCAGTTTCACTGCTTGCTCAGGTTGGTGACACAAACATAACGCCATAGAAGTGCATTTTATGACCGAAACTGCCAGAGAAGGTGGCGAGGTTGTTCATAATTTGACTACGTCAATAAGTCAATTGACTATGGATTTTGATCTGTGTAGTAAGTGTCCTGATGATAGGAGAAAGGAGGTCAGTATTATGCAGAAAAGTTGCCTAAATATGACTCATGCAATTATGCTATGAAGTTACCAGTTTGTGAAACCATTTGATTCATGCATCATTGTGCTTCTTTGTATTGCTGGCTTTCAGACATGTGACCCAGATGACGCACAAAATTCAGGTGGAGGTCAGAAAGTGGATTTCTGTGGTTCAAAATGGATCACAGCGAGTAGATAACGTCCTGATGTAGGTTAAACATTCTACAGAAAACCCATTAAAAACAATGTTTGACCAAGCCAGGGCATAAACTAATAAATCTTACCTTCAATATGACTGCTTGTCTTTCTAAATAACTTCCCAGTAAAATATCTGAAAATACAATTTAAGCAATGTGATCGTTACCTGTTAGAAACTGGGCTTGTTAGTTTTTGCACCTCTTGTTTTTAGCTGTAGATTGTTGACACACTTTCCTCTGTAAGTTTTTTAAGATTAACTCCCTTGTAACCAACTGGCTTTGGAGAACCAAAATAACGTCCATCTTTCTCTCTATTAGAACAGTTGGACCAACCGTGCATGACACAGAGACTTCAGGCGTTATGAAGTTGGATCAACAGAAGTAATTTACTTCCTGACCTCCATCTGCACTGCGTGACGTCGGTGCTACGTCACGCCCTAACATAAAGCCACCAGAAAATAAAATACCGTTGAGTACTTACGGCTGCGGGAGCCTAAAGACCCAGGAGATGATGTAACCAAAGACGTATCCAATCAGGGGCATGAGGGTGGCGATGGCCATGAGAGGAGGCGAGAACATGTAAAGGAGGGAGCTTCCAATTTCAACGATGGAAATGATGCAGATGACAAGAACGGAAATCATTAAAACACTGAGGCCCACCTGAAAACGACAGAAACAAGAAATGGACCAGACTTGCAAATTGCAAATTTCTTCTGCTTCCAATAGGAGTGGCTTCTTTTAAAGGGTTCTTGAGTAACGCTGCACTCTTTTACACTCATTTGGAACCAATGAGTGTACCTGAAAGAAAAATATGAAAAAACTAGAATAAATTTTTTCCACATTGATTCGACCGACCTTTGTGATTATCTTTGAGTACTGCGGCCGGAAGTGGTTGATGAGGATGCCGGCTCCGCAAGGTACCAGGATCACAAGCAGGGATGTGATGATGCCCACATACGGCACCGCTTTCTGCAGGTTGGAGAAGCCGTGGCAGTACAGGTAGAGCAGCAGCGGCATCATGGCCAGAGCCAGCAGCGTGGAGCAGGAGGTCATCACAATGCTGAAGGGACAAAAAAATAATAATTTCAATGTTTGGAAAGGCTTTTCCATCTTCATTATTTATCTGTATTTAATATATGTAGGCTGGATGTAACTCATTTATAAAAAAGAGCGGTTCATCAACCTGCACTTCTCTAATCCTGACACTAAACACAGTTTTATTAAATTCAGATCAATTAATCACATAATGGTAAGATAAAAAAAAGAAATAAAACATTACCTACTTTTTTTTATCACAAATGGACAACTTTTTACAAGTCTGAATAAAGAAAAAAAAACTTTATATAATCAGCAGCATAAATACAATGAAAGTTGAAAGTTTGTTGTGCCTGCCTAATTTTACTTGTAATGAACAGTAAATCCTCTAGGGGCCGCCAGTGAGGTAAATAATGCAGGTTTTGTTTTGTCAGGTCAATCAGGTGAACTTTCAGCCTGGTAACAGTCAGACGGTTTTTGGTCTCCATAACATTACACAATGGACTCAGTCGTCGTTTTTTATTCCCACTAGTTATGACGGTACAGTATGTTCTCTTGGACAGTAAAAGAATAAGCAAGGGTTTGATGTGCGCATATAAACACAATAAAGCTGAAACTGCTCTGAAGGAACGCAGCAGTTTAAGCAAACTGCTTTTCCTTTAGCATATGTTTTCCATTTTATTATCATTATTATTGTAAGTGGAAAATGGAATTTAAAGTTTTTTTCCCACCATTTTGACTTTATTGTTGAAATTCTTCTATGTTAATAATAATAATAATAATAGTCTTTCGTCCATACTTTGACAATAAACGGTCATTTTAGTTCACAGAAACCATTCCCCACTTGTTATTAAATGAGCAGTATAATGTAATCAACATTTTTGAGTTATAATGTTATTCCCTCATCAGAAACACACTTGGTATTTCATGCGTGCAAGAGGCCTTGGTGGAGGGACAGAGGTGCAACTCCTTCAGACTAGCCAGCAGCAATTAGCAAACAACTTGTGGAAGTACACGACAGCAGAGCTCATTATAGACCCCTTTTAACAACCACTTAATCATTCACCATGTTGGATGTTCGAGGTGAGAGATGGGAGAATTGAACAGAGTGACTTAAATTGTTTTTGCCAGTTTATTTATGGTTTCTACTTGTTCTAGTCGAGGTGATTTGTAACACACCTGGTTGGGGGATCATAGAGGTATTTACAAAAGCTTCTGATAGCTAGCTTAGAAACCAACTATCCCTCCTCCCTCCTGATGTGTTGATCAAAGTAGGTAATTGCCTGAATTCACACCACATGATTTATGTCACTGTGTCATAAACGGTTTTCTCTTTACGGCGTTGATGCTAACCGGTATTCCAGACACGCTGAGCTACATGACGGTGCAGTCATGCAGACCTGTTTATGCAGCACCCCATCTCCATTTTTAAAGTGAAAGCAACTAAATATAAGTGATATTACAAATGTCTGTTTAAGGGAGTGCATCGGTTTTCGAGAGCGTGTCGTTTTGACTTCCTCAAGCCGGAGTTTCAGAAAGAGCAGGAGTTTTTATTTGCTCTCCTGAACATGTCTGTGTACCTGAGGTTCATGTCTCCCTTTATAGCCAGAGCCAGCATGTTGGACAGGGCTCCTCCAGGACAGCAGCCGCAGATCAGAATCACCACAGCTGCGGCTTCAGGCACCTGGAACCCCTGCAACACAACGACACAGGGAATATGAGGAACATATCAAGGCGAGTCGCATTAATAAGAATGTCAGTAGCTCAGTTGATGTCCTGCAGGTCATTCAGATCAATGTATCAGTAATCAAGGTACTAGATATTTATGAACGCCGCCAGCCTTGAATATTTGAAAGTTTTTCTATTCTTTTCTATTTTTTTTTCGTTTTGTTTTAGTGAGGCTTTTATTCTCAGCTTTTGCAGGTTTGAACCAATTTCCAAA